TAACTTAGACTAGGAGATCCTAAGAGAACATATGAATGTAAAACTAGCAAATAATCAAGATATGTACACATGAGTCAAAGCGAAGTACAAAGCATGTCAGACATCAAAATCCACGTCACGAATTAATTAAGACACTAAGAATTAAATTAAAAAGCTAGACAAAATTTACAACGTCCTAAATAAAATTAAAATTAGAGAAATCAAGAAAAGATTCAAACAAATCATGGAGAAATTAATCGAAATCAAAAGGAAACAAACATCAAAAACACTCATAAAAAATTAACTTAAAGAAAAATAACAAAAATCTTAAAGAAATAATTAACAAAGAACTTAACAAAAAAAGTTTAAATAAAAACATTAAGTAATAGTTAACAAAAGATTTAAAGAATAATCCTCTTTCTTGGCTGAAACTCGTTGTCTCTTTCTTAAGTTGTTCTGGTCTTCTTCTTTCTGTTTTCAGATGCTTCCTCAATTTCAATTTTGCAACGGTAGATGTGGCAACGGTGACTTATTGACAAAGGATGCAAACTGTTGCTATTGTATCGTGTGATTTTGGGTTGCAATTTACGTTTGGGTTTTGTTGTTGTTATTGTGAGATGTTTGTTTAAGTTTGCAGGTTATGAATCTCCCGCGATCTCGCTCACATAAGGTTTGTGATGGCCTGCTCTTCCAACCGCAGAGCTTCAGAATAGTCTTTGGCCTCCAATGCATGTGCAATTGACTCTGAGCTTTCTTTTTGTTTCTGGTGGGCTGCGGTGGTAGATTTTGAAGAGATGTATCTTTGGGAGGTCTGGCGATATGAAGATTATTGTTGTTGTTTCACGGCAGAGAGATTTTAGTGATACAATGTTGATAGAGGGTTTTGTCATAGAGGTTTAACTATGAGTTTGGTGAATGTGTTTGAGGCATCGTTATGAGCGCGATGGTGGTTCACGTTTACAGATGGCGGTGGAGAACACAATAAGATGAAAAATGGTGAGGGAGGTCAAACTAGGTGGAGAAGAGAAGAGGGAGGAACAAAGTGATGTAGGGAAATAAAATAAGGGTCTGTGGTGGCGGCGCACAAGTTAACATAAGGAAGGAGAAGTTGATGGTGTGACAACAGTTTGTGTTATGCAGTTGTGAGCCGTGCCCAATTGTGTTGTTGTTGTAAGGTACAGGCTTGTGAAAATAGTGAAGGTATAATGTCGTTGTTGTTCGCTGATGGAGAAGATGCAGGTGAGGGTGAGGGTGGAGGCGTTGAAATGTGATTTTTCTGAGGAAGAAATTATGAGGTTGAAACTAGGAGCAGTGAAACTGAGTTTTTCAAAATTTTCTTTTCTTCAAGTTATTTTTCTCTCTCACGTATTATTAATTTCTACTAAATTCTCTTTCACGTGCAATTTTGTCTTCCTTTCCATTTTTATTAAATCTTTGAATTGTGTGAATTGTGTGTGCTGTCAATGTGTTTGTGATTACCTGTAGTATAAACATAAAAATTGTTATAAAAATTGTTTTGTAGAAAGTAGGAATTGTGACATCCATTATATATCACTATGTTTAACCGTGCTGGCCTCCTTCACGTCGCCGGGGAGGTGTCCCGTGCTAAGGTAGGTATGTACCGGGATCATCCAATAGTCGCTGTCCCCAATGGCATTGACCTTGAGCATCATTTTCGCCTTCTCCGTGCTTGGCCGCGCGAGGACCTTCTAGACGACGGAATTGTTCCCGCCCTTCTTCTTTGTGCTCGCCAGTTTCGAGAGGACATCTGCTCGGGTGTTATGCTCGCGGGGGACATGTTGCACTTCGGCGGAGTCGAAACTCTTCATCCGCTCCCTTATAAAGGCTAAATATTCGACCAGGTTGTCGTTCTTGGCTTGGTTCTCACCCCAGACTTGGGAGGCGACCAATTGGGAGTCTGTGAAAATTTGATCTCCTTGGCTCCGAGGTCTTTTGTCAGGCGGAGTCCAGCCAAGAACGCCTCATACTCGACCTGATTGTTTGTCGTCGGGAAGGTCAAAGCAAGAGAGACTTCCACGATAGTGCCTTATTCGTTTTCCAGGATGATGCTCGTGCCGCTTCCCATCGAGCTCGAAGCGCCACTGACGAAGATGGTCCACTTGTGGGCTCCAGAAGTTGGTTCCGCGACGGACGTCATCTCGACGATGAAGTCAACCAGTACTTGTGCCTTGAGTGCTTTTGTGCCTTCGTAGAGTATGTCAAATTCGGAGAGTTCCAGCGACCACTTCAACATGCCCCCTGACACGTCGGGCCTACCGAGCAGCTGTTTGATAGGTTGTTCGGTTCTGACCACGATGGCGTGGGCTAAGAAGTAGTGTCGGAGTCTTCTGGCCGCATTGATGAGGGTCAGGGTGACTTTTTTGATATGCTGGTACCTCACTTCAGGGCCGTGGAAGGCCTTGCTCATAAAGTAGATCGGCTTCAGCCCATCAGGAGTTTCCCAGATCAGTACGGCGTTGACGACCTCGGTGGAAACGGTCAGGTACAGGTAGAGGGTTTCCCCGACGTCTGGTCTCGTCAGGACTGACAACTCTGAGAAGACACGCTTGAAGTGGAGGAGGGCCTGCTCGCATTCCTCCGTCCATTTGAACGCGGCCTCCTTCCTTAGTAGTCCAAAAAATGGGAGGGCATGTTGCGCGGATTTGGCGACGAACCGGGATAACGAGGCAAGCATCATGTTCAGCAATTGAATCGACTTCTTCGTGCTCGGCGTTGTGAAATCGAAGAAAGCCCGACATTTGTCCGGGTTTGCCTTGATCGCTCGTTCGGTCAGGTAAAACCCAAGGAACTTCCCCACTCGTATACCGAAGGTGCATTTCTCCGGGTTAAATCGCATCTTGCACCTCCTCGCTGTTTCGAAGACCTTCTTGAGGTGGGCCGTGTGGTCAACCTCGATACGTGATTTGATGATCATGTCATCCATGTAGACTTCAAGCATGTCGCCAATCTCTCCTCGGAAGACCTTGTTCATCATCTGTTGATAGGTAGCGCCGACGTTTTTTAGGCCAAATAACATTACGTTGTAGTAATAGTTGCCTGACTCGGTCATGAAGGCCGTGCTCTGTTTGTCGACCTCATCCATGGGGATCTGGTTGTATCCTGAGTAGGCATCCATGAAGGACAATAATTTGAAGCCCGCTGAGTTGTCGACGAGCTTTTCGATATTAGGGAGGGGATAGGCGTCCTTGGGACATGCCCGGTTAAGATCCGTATAGTCAACACACATCCTCCATTTTCCATTACTCTTTTTTACTAATACAACGTTAGACAGCCAGGTTGAATACCGGGCTTCTGAAATAAAATTTGCCTCTAGAAGGTTTTTTACAACTTTTTCAGCAGCTGCCGACTTTTCGGGGGACTGCCTACGCCTACGTTGTACTACGGCCTTCGCGGATGGGTCGATGGAAAGTTGATGGAAGACGACCTCGGGGTCAAGACCGGGCATCTCGACGGCGCTCCAAGCGAAGAGGTCGGTGTTCTCACAGAGACAGACCTTCAGTAGCTTCTTCTCCAGGTCGGGCAGGCCGGCTCCAATCTTCACATTCCTGGTCGTATCCTCGCCGAGGGCTACGAGCTCGAAGTCCCCGTCTGGAATGGGGCACGTTGGGTGGAAGGCTGCCCGTTGACCATTGGAGGAGCATGCTCGACTTCGGCTTCATGCTTCTGTTGGTCAGGGAAGCAGCAGTCGAGGTCTATGACATCGACGTGGTTCTTTGGCCTGTGCTCTTGGATGGGTAGAGACTTCTTGATCGCCTTGGGAGAGGGGCCGATCGTGCTAAGGCCCTTCGTTGTTGCCTCGAAACATCATCGGGCTGCCTCTATGTTGCCGTTGAGGGTGACGACACCATCCCGCCTGGTGTAATACTTCATCTTAAGGTGGACTGTCGATGGCACTGCGGTGAGGTCTGCCAGGGTCGTCCTGCCTAAGATATAGTTGTACAGTGATGGGCACTCGACGACCAGGAATCAAATGTTGATCTCCCTGGCCGTCTCATTTGTCCCGAAGGTGACTTTGAGTTCCACATATCCCCACAGTCTTGTCGTCGTCCCATTGAACCCTTGGAGGTCGGAGCCGACATAAGGGGTTAGATTGATCTCGTCGAGCTGCAACGTCGAGAACATGTGGGTATACATGATATCCACCGAGCTTCCCCCGTCGACCAGGGTATTTATAGTATTCCCCCAGTGCAGGGCCAACGGTTACTTCGTGTTGGGCTGGGTTTCCAGGCCCAATGTTGGTAACTGCTAGGGCTAACATGGCGTCAGGAAGACCAGCACATGGTCTTCGCCTTAGTGTAACTGCTCCGTGCTATCCGGGAGGTGTAGGACCGATTAATCAGGACACAGAAAGTTACCAGATGACGTGTCTTCGTGTATGGGACACGTTGAGAAAGTGGGGGAAGTCAGAGGAGCTCCTCGAGCTAGATGGGGTCTGCCCGACAGCGGGGCAGAAGGGAGAGCGCGCCAGACAGATGTGAGGTGCCTGCTCGGCTGCCAAAGGTTCGTGCCCGACGGAAGAAAAGGTTCTGCGCGACGGGAGAAGGGTCTCTGTCCGACAAGGAAGAGGTTTAGGTCTTATTGGGCCTTCCAACCCGATGTGGGGTTGGACCTGCTCGACTATGGGCCAAGTGTCGGTCCAATCCAAAACAGATAGAATACTAAAATACCTTTGAAGTCTCTAATCAAAATTTTCCTTCTCTTTTTCGACACTTGCTGACTCACGACCTTCTTCTCTATTTATCGAGAAGTTTTGTCTTTTTTTTTTTATTCCATTATTTTATTATTTAGAAGTAATCGAAAATAAAATTAAAATTAAACAAAAATAATAATTTACGTCTTTTGAACACTAAAAGACTATTGACAGTACAATATTTATTTATACGGTGGTTAAATGTTGCGAGAGACGATGGCGCAGTGTACTAAAATGCACCATAGGCGCAGACAAGTAAGAGAATAAAATAAATAGAGTCAGTTTTATCATCTTTCTTATCCACTCAACAATGTCGCTTCTGCAACTCCCCGCTAAGCTCTCATCACCATTCTTCACCGGCAATGGAATCAGCCTCAACCGTTTCTCAAACGCCACTTCCTCAGCCCAAACCCAAACCCATTATCTTCCGGTACCGGCAATCAAAGCCCTGAAAACAATTGAAGGAAAGGTCGTATGCACCACCAACAACAAGACGGTTGCGGTGGAGGTTACCCGTTTAGCACCTCATCCGAAATACAAAAAGCGAATCAGGATAAAGAAGAAGTATCAGGCTCATGATCCGGAAAACGTCTTCAAAGTCGGTGATATGGTTCAGCTTCTTAAAATTAGACCGATTAGCAAGAAAAAGAGCTTTCTCGCTGTTCCTGCTCCTACTAGGAAAACAAACAATGCTGGTTCGTCCGGTGAGCTTGACATTCCGCTTCAGTCTCAGCAAGAGGAAAAGAAACAGGCTCAGGATTAGGCTTGCAATTTCTTACTCCTGCTCTTTAATTTTATTGCGATTTTTTCGATGTTCTGATGTTCGTAGGTTATGTAATTTGCATTGTAATTTTTATTGTGAAAATGTTTGTTGGATATGATTTCAGTTGCAGTTGTTTTGTACTAATATGAAGAAATTGGAATTGAGAAATGAATCTTGTTGTTTATTGTGAAAAAATCTGAATTGATTATCGGGCTGTGTGATAATTTCATTGTTTAATTTGAAGGGTAGGTGTTTGATGAAATGTTGAGTTAGTGTGCGTTTGATGAAATGTTGAGTTAGTGTGTGTTTGATGAAATGTTGAGTTAGTGTGTGTTTGATGAAATGTTGGGTTAGGTTGCTCAAAATCTATGAAGCACGGACACCCCGAGTTTGTCCCTGACACTAACACCATGACACCGGTAATAATTTGAAAAAATGAATAAATTAAACGTAATCGCAAGTGTCGGTGCATCTACAGACACAGACATGTCTGTTTTTAGAGGTGTCGGTGTTACATAGCTCAAAATTATATGGGTTTTAATGGTTTTTATGGGAGTGTCTTCCTACCAAGAAGAGTGCTCTTGAATTGTTGGCAGGATTTGGATTCTTTGATAGGAGGGAACTCAGATTCTTAGGTTGGGTGTCAATTAATGGAAGAATTGTTCCATCTAGGACTCTTCAATGTTCGATGTGCCGAATTTTTCAATCATAGAAGTTATAATTTTTTTCTCTATCCAGATTTTTGTTTTCATAGGTCCTGTCTTTAAAACTTGATTAGTATAATGGGCAGGACACTGCGTAGTTTTGCATGTTTAGAATTTGAACTGTATTGCGAGAATACTTTGCTTTCTACAAATAGTTGGATTGCAGTCTGCAGAGTTTAATTATCTAAAAGATGGCAAACATGCAGTGCTCAGCCAGAGCTTGTGGGTGAAGTAACTGCTCATGAGTTATGGCTATCATTTGAGTCAATAATTAGCTCTAAAGATGTTCCAATTGAGAAGATTGCTTCAGAAAACAATCTTGCAAACGTGTTTGCTAAGCCACCTTTTAAATCAAGGTTCAAGAATTGATTCGACTTAATCGACTTCTATGGAGCATAATTCTAAAAGTAGGAGACAAGTGTAATGGTGATGCGTTTAATCGTCTTCTCTTATTCGGACCTGTTCATTTTCTTGGGCATTTTGTTTCTACCTTGGGCTTTTAAGAGACATGAGTGTTGGTGAGTTTCTTATTTCTCAACTTCCCTTTTACTTTGTCTCAGGGATTTCTGAGTTGACTTATTTAAGCTTATCCCTAAACCCTAAACGCATCATGTCCATCAGCTCTTCAGGATAGTTTATGAAAATATTTTATAGTTTAAATGAAAATAAGTTGACTTCATTTTATGTTTTTGATATAACACTGACTATATATAAACACATATATGATAAACGTTTACTTATGAAATTGGTTCATACATCGTTGCTTCTTCTACTGCTGCATATTGTTAATAGCAATTCTTCAATTCTGTTTTCAGTGCAATATTGCATTTCTGTGTTTTCTGGTTTGTTTTACTGCATAACTTTGTTTCTGTGTAATTCAGTTTTTATGGTTTAGCCGAAATATGGGTTGTGAGATTCTGCTCTACCCTAATTGCTAGTTTGTGTACAGGTTGCTGGTTTTATTTAATTGTGTGATGAGAACAAACATTAGCAATAGCAATGTGAGCCACCAAATCATCTGACAAAAGCCATAAAGCGCAAACAAATCATCCACATAAGGAATTAACAAATAATGTCATAATTATATACAAGAGATGGTTAAGGTTTTTTGTCTCCCTTTCTACCTAGGGGAGAAACACTAGCTTTTTTTTCACCAAACCCAACACTAACCAAAAAGAAAAAACCAGAAGATTATTATCACTAATAATTTAAATCTATCCATCAATTGTCGGATTTGACTTAACCATCTTCACAATGTAAACTTGTTCTGATGTTTTTCAATGTACATGATACAAGAGAGTTAACAGAGTCCACAGACTCCATTGTTAATTTGGCTGTAGGAGAAGCATTGGTAAGAATCTGGAATGCTATTGTAAACAAAGATCCTCCCTCTGTATTTTTCTCCTCCCTCCTTGAAGTAATGACCATTGGCCTCGACTCTAAGCCATCGGGAACAATTGAGAATCCTGACGGAAGTACGGCAAGATTGCTCGAATCGCATCCTGTCATCACAGACTGAATACCAGTAATGTCCACAGGAGCATATACCACCATTGATTCGTAAGAGTTTGTGCAGCTATCTTGCAGTATCCACATATTGTTCTCTTTAGATTTAATCGTCTGCAAGGTGAGAAAAAACAACCCAACATCTTACTTACAATCATGTTCTAAATTTAACTCATTTTCTTCATTGTGTTCTGTTTTAAACATTTAGGTACAACGTACTTGGATTGTTACTGCATTGCCTCTGTCTTGTCCTTTGGCTAAATTTGCAATTGTCTGCACTGCTCCGCCACTAGACATGATATCCCACTGTCATAATGATAAATAATCATCAACACAAATCATAAAGTCGATATGATTGAACTTATTTTATACTGCCAATGTATTTGTACCTCAGTTCGACGAGCTTCATCCCTCAAGAAATCAAACAGAACATTATGATATACAGGCAACCATACAGACGAAACTGCGCAAAGGATCAACCCTAGAGGTTCACCGGGATCATTCAAATTGTTACGAGAACTAATTCTTATGTCTTCTCCTGTTTTACTAGTAACTTTGGTCCATGTATGGAAGCTTGATGCACTAATAGCTTGACAGAAACTCCATGTCATTCTTTGTGCCAACTTCAAAATGCTTTTTCTCCCTGCCAATGTGGCAACACCTAACATTTTGTTTTCATCACTAATCTATTTAGTGCACAATCACTTAACATAAGAACTTTTTTTATAGTTAGAGTTCATTACTCACTCACCAGTTGAATCCTTCATGGGGACATTTGTTGCCATGAAGAAAACTAGTCGTTCGCATTGAAGTTGAAGGGTCGCAATCCAATGCTTTGCCCCAAATGCTAGGCCACTGTTGACAATGGTTCTAAACATTGAATGAACTGTGCTCCTTTGACACTCTAAATGCTCCACCCATGTTACCTATTAAATGTTTATTTTATGTTCCATATGTAACAAAAATAGAAACAAATTTGGAACTTGAATTGGTAATATATTACATACTTTGCAATGACCATTTGACTTATCTTCAATGATACAACCAGATGGACGTTTTCTGCATTTCATGAGGGACATGTCAATGTTGTCTTCTACTTTGTCTATGGACACATCAACAATTGCCCATTTTTCACCACTTAATTGTTTGCAGTATCTGACAAAATACACTTCTCTAGTGGCCACCATTGGTGTTAGCATTTGCAGCTCAGCAAACATCTGTGTACCCAACGCAAAATTAAGGTTAGAGTTTTATACAGAATAAAAGTTATTTTTTCAGTTTTTAATAAAACATTAATTATAATTTTTAATTGATCTTCTAATTTTTTGTCAAATAGTTTAATGGTTAAAATTTTGCCTGTTTAAAAATATAAGTGCGAGGTCAGTGCACTTGCAGTACAATCAGATGTCACTATACAACTGAGATGAAATATTATTATATTTGTCAATAAATTTTCACCACGAAGTATCATATACATATTAATTTTAAAATGTTATTATATTCTATTTTGATTTTATAATAATAGAAAATATATAAATATAGCTAATAATTACTCTCTTTATTATATTTCTCAATGTATATATGTAAAAATCTTATTTAACTTTTATTTTTAAATAGAAAATAGTTGTTTAAAATTAGTGTATACAAATAAAAAATAAACAATTATATATATCTGATTCAAAATAATTTCATTTGATTCCTAGAATTTAATTTGTATCACATAATTCTATACCATTTCCAAACTAACTAGACATTATACATTATTAAAACATCAATTATTGAAAAACTTGAACATCTATATAACCATAGATATACAAAGAAGTAGAAGGATTTAGATTTTGGATTGAACCTAAATCTTGTAAAGTGAGTGATATACATCAAAGGCTTGTAAATCCACCACATAGGGTAACATGTCATTGAGAAAGAAAGATACCAATTAAGATGAAAAGGGCAAGATATGTAAGAGAAGAAAGTGCCAAGTGTTACTAAAGTCTAAATGACATTAAACTTTTTTATATTTTTTTGTCTCTTTATCTATATTCTATGAAATAGATACATAAAGGTTGTGGTTAAAGAAGAGGAAAAGTTGACAAGCACTTTCACTTCCAAAAAGAAAGATTAATGCATGTGTTAAGAAATCAAAAGCATGTAGAATTTTGTTGGTGAAAATCAAAAGTGTAGAATTACACCACAATTAACTCAACTTTTTTTTTATCTAAAACATTTTCAAATATTCTAGTACTAGTAGAAAACATCATTTAAAATTACGAGGTACCATAATTTTCTTTTGCTTGTCATGTTTTGGACCACTTCATAAAATATAATATCCATATTTCCAGATCAATGAATCCGTGTATGAACTGTTGCTTTCAGATTCATAGCAAGAAATAAATTTTATTCATTTTTGATATTACATTCAATTTACCATTATTGCATAAAGTTGTATCAAACTTTCATTGATGTTTTTATTTTTTTGAAAATTCAGTATCCTATTCAGGATCGACTATTTCGAGAGACCAATTCTACTGATCATTAGCGGGAATATCATTAGTTATTGGTGTCTAGCGTGTGTATGTTATAAACGGTAAGATGTTGCGTTTGATTCTTATCAATAAAAAAAATCTTACTAGTTGCGCAACACCATTCTTGTTAGAACCTTCTCCTTTGCAAATAATATCTACGGTTGCAGCTTTAGATATTAAACATGGGAACATTTCCCTCCATTGATTCTGCAAAATGACACAATAAGCATCATTTTAACTTACACATGACAAAATATGCACATGTGAA